CTAATGCGTTATGTGTGGTTTCCTCCGAGGCTATGGGTCCCCCTTCTTCCAGCTAGAGGTGGTATATATATATATATATATATATATATATATATATATATATATATATATATATATATATATATATATATATATATATATATATATATTATACACACACACCGAGAAGCGGGGAACATTTATCTGTGTATATTTTAATTCCCGCTGTAGGGAACAGAAAGCCTGTGTATATGTATATTTTAGATTTGTATAAACTAGCCTGGCCGTCCCCGGGCTAGGGTCTTTAGAGCGGCGGCCGTACCCTCCTCCCCCGAAACGCATTCAACAATTTGAACACTCACAACTGTTGGCGTTCGAACACTTCCGGAACAAGTACTTTACTGACGAATTTTGTTCGAACCACAACGCTGTAAATGCTTCACCCACATACTGCAAACACAAATAATCGCCAACAGAACCTAAACACCTAACCTAACCTATGCCTACATATATGCACAATATGCTACTATATTATAATATTAATTTATATTTGAGAAAATTCCTGTTTTGAATGAACAACATGTAAAAATTTATGAATGCGTCTGTGGGGTCGACCGCTGGATGGAATGGACTTGAGTCGAGGACGGGTTGGCCTATGTGAAGTATTTATGGAGGTGAGATTCGAACAGAGTAAACTAATGGTCGAGAAAAGTTCGAACATCACCAGTTGTGAGTCGTATGTAAAGATTTTTTCATTCATAAACAGGAAGTTTCGTGAGGGGGGAAGGGGTTAAGGAAGGGAAACGAACTATCAGTGGAAAGCGCCAAGCCATTACGACTATATAGCACTGGGAAGGGGTCAGGATAAGGATTTGGGATGGGACGGATGGGAAGGGAATGGTGCCCAACCACTTGTGGACGGTCGGGGATTGAACGCCGACCATCTACGAAACTTCCTGTTTATGAAAGCATCTGGCCTTTGTTGACGAGGACGGGTTGCAGCGCAAGTTGTCGTTGATCAAATGTTTTCTCCGCTGATAAACGAGGGTTACGTCCAATGACATTGTGTGCCTGTTTGCCCTTGTCGTGCAGGCAACGGGATCACCTTGAAATGTGTCTTGGTTCATTAGTGCATAAGGATGAAGTTCTGATAAACACACAGGTGCGTAAACGTGCGTTACAGTAGTTGTCAATGGACGTATCTCCTACGCCCATTGACAACAATGGGTCTGACACCTTTGTATAATATAAAGATGCTGGTTCCAGTCAGCCACACAGAAGGGACACAAATACCATATTCACCAACGGGGGGACAAAAACATCACCTATTGTACACTATCGTCACACACACACCCACACACACACACACTTACAGGTCTTACAACCATAGAGAATGTGTGCGACTACAGGAAAATAGGCAGATATGTAAAAGGGAAAGATCGACCTTTGAGGATCACCCTAAATGGTGCCAAACAGATGGAAGAAGTACTAAGGAATGCTAGAAAATTACAAAGTGATGAGGATGGGAAAGTGTGGTCGTTAAGACGAGATCTTTCAAAAGAAGATAGAGAGAAGCTGAAACTGAACCTCGCCGAGGCAAAACGTTTAAATGAGAGCAGGAATGAAGAAGAAATCAATTCTTTTTTCTACAAAGTGATAGGGGGTAGGCAGACCAGTAAAGTGGTACATAAAGGCAAACCAACAAAATCATTAGGGGGAGGGGAGTGAAAAATAAGAAGAGGGGGAACAAGTTCCTGAAGATTGCATACACCAACGTAGATGGAGTAAGATCGAAGATACTGGAGTTAAGTGATGTAATACAGCTGCAGACACCAGACATTGTTGCACTCACGGAGACAAAACTTGAAGATGTTATTTTAAATGAAGTCATATTCCCAAGGGGCTACTCAGTTTGGAGACGGGACAGAAAAATTAGGAAAGGCGGTGGCGTTGCTGTGCTGGTGAAAGAACACCTAAAGGTGAAGGAAATAATGACTGCCAATCCACAAGAAGTTGACATAATAGCACTAGAGATCTGCCATGAGGATGATAAACTAATAATCATAAATGTATATAGTCCACCGCCAAGCAGCACATGGTCAAAGGAGGAGCTAGATAGTAAACGTGAAGGTCTTATAACAATAATGAGAGAGATCATAGCGAGAGCGGATAACGATAGATCACGACTGTTGATAGTCGGCGACTTCAACTTGAAATCCATAGACTGGGAAGCATATGAAGCTAAAACAGAATATTTTTGGACCTGTAAATTTGTAGACCTCATCCTGGAAACATTCTTGTATCAACATGTTAAACAAGCTACGAGGATGAGGGAAGAGGACGTTCCCTCCATGCTAGATTTGATATTTACCAGGAAGGAGGAAGAAATATTTGACATTCAGTACCTTCCTCCCTTGGGTAAAAGTAACCATGTCTTTTTGGGAATAAAGTATGCAATGCGTTATAATCTGGAAGAAAATATGATAGTTGATGAAATTGAAAAACCTGACTTTAGGAGAGGACATTATGGCAACCTTAGGAAATTTTTTAGTGAGTATAATTGGACAGACTTGTTGCTAGGCAAGGAAGTGAATGAGATGTATGTCAAGTTTTGTGAAATATATGATAAAGGCACAAAAAAATTTATACCAAAACAGAGAAGCAGAACTAGGAAACAGGATTGGTTCAACAGAAATTGCGAGAGGGCCAGAGACCAAAAGATACAAAAATGGAATCAATACAGGAAGAGGCCAAACCCCCAAACATACCAGCGATACAAAGATGCGAGAAACAACTACACGGCAGTGAGGAGAGAGGCGGAAAGAAATTTTGAAAAAGGGATTGCAGACAAATGTAAAACAGAACCAGGTCTATTCTATAAATTCATAAACAACAAATTGCAGGTAAAGGCTAATATTCAGAAGTTGAAAATGGGAAATAGATTCACGGAAAATGAAAAGGAAATGTGTGAAACATTAAACGAAAAGTTCCAAAGTGTGTTTGTACAAAATGAAATCTTCAGGGAACCAGATATAATAAGAATTGCAGAGAACAACATAGAGCACATAGAGGTGTCTAGAGACGAAGTGGAAAAAATGCTCAAGGAGCTAAATAAGAACAAAGCAGTTGGTCCAGATGGAGTTTCACCATGGGTTCTGAGAGAATGTGCACCTGAGCTCAGCATTCCTCTTCAACTGATTTTTCAGGCATCCCTGTTTACAGGAGTTGTAGCTGATGTGTGGAAAAAGGCTAACATATTTCCAATCTACAAAAGTGGAAGCAGGGAAGACCCCCTTAATTATAGACCTGTATCATTGACAAGTGTAAGAGTCAAAATATTGGAAAAAATAATTAAAACTAAATGGGTAGAACACCTGGAGAGAAATGATATAATATCAGACAGACAGTATGGTTTTCGATCTGGAAGATCCTGTGTATCGAATTTACTCAGTTTCTATGATCGAGCAACAGAGATATTACAGGAAAGAGATGGTTGGGTTGACTGCATCTATCTGGACCTAAAAAAGGCTTTCGACAGAGTTCCACATAAGAGGTTGTTCTGGAAACTGGAAAATATTGGAGGGGTGACAGGTAAGCTTCTAACATAGATGAAAAATTTTCTGACTGATAGAAAAATGAGGGCAGTGATCAGAAGCAATGTATCGGACTGGAGAAATGTCACAAGTGGAGTACCACAGGGTTCAGTTCTTGCACCAGTAATGTTTATTGTCTACATAAATGATCTACCAGTTGGTATACAGAATTATCTGAACATGTTTGCTGATGATGCTAAGATAATAGGAAGGATAAGAAACTTAGATGATTGTCATGCCCTTCAAGATGACCTGGACAAAATAAGTATCTGGAGCACCACTTGGCAAATGGAATTTAATGTTAATAAATGTCATGTTATGGAATGTGGAATAGGAGAACATAGACCCCACACAACCTATATATTATGTGAGAAATCTTTAAAGAATTCTGATAAAGAAAGAGATCTAGGGGTGGTTTTAAATAGAAAACTATCACATGAGGACCACATAAAGAATATTGTGCGAGGAGCCTATGCCACGCTTTCTAACTTCAGAATTGCTTTTAAATACATGGATGGCGATATACTAAAGAAATTGTTCACGACTTTTGTTAGGCCAAAGCTAGAATATGCAGCGGTTGTGTGGTGCCCATATCTTAAGAAGCACATCAACAAACTGGAAAAGGTGGAAAACATGCTACTAAGTGGCTCCCAGAACTGAAGGGCAAGAGCTATAAGGAGAGGTTAGAGGCATTAAATATGCCAAAACTAGAAGACAGTAGAAAAAGAGGTGATATGATCACTACATACAAAATAATAACAGGAATTGATAAAATCTATAGGGAAGATTTCCTGAGACCTAGAACTTTAGGAACAAAAGGTCATAGATATAAACTAGCTAAACACAGATGCCGAAGAAATATAAGAAAATTCACTTTCGCAAACAGAGTGGTAGACGGTTGGAACAAGTTAGGGGAGAAGGTGGTGGAGGCCAAGACCGTCAGTAGTTTCAAAGCGTTATATGACAAAGAGTGCTGGGAAGACGGGACACCATGAGCTTAGCTCTCATCCTGTAACTACACTTAGGTAATTACACTTAGGTAATTACACACACACACACACACACACGTACGTTTTGTTTTTATGTTGTGATGGTTAAAAGTTTCTACATTGTTCCAACGTTGCCTGAAAGTAACAATACTATAAAGTATAACGCTTTGGTTATCCTGTGTGTGCAGTGGAGGCTGTCGCAACACAACGTCCACCGAGGAAGGAAGTGTTGCAGCACATCCGGATGCAATTCACCACAAGCCAACATTCAGGGAATGATATTCCCCCACAGTAGCCAGTTGCGAGGGTCCCGTCACGGTCCTGTACAATGGTCTCAAGAAAACAAAATGGTAGAGTCCTGAGAGAGAAGATATCACACAAAGTGGTCAGTGGACCGTGACAATACACGCTTCCGGATTGTAGGAGTTCTCTTGCATCCTCATTCATCTCTGCTTTTCATTTGCAATGTATCTCCAGGCAATGGTTTGAGGTCTGGGAGGCCCTTGTTTTGTTTGTCCTTGTTGCTGAGGTCTGGCTGGCCCTTGTTTTGTTTGTCCTTGTTGCTGAGGTCTGGCTGGCCCTTGTTTTGTTTGTCCTTGTTGCTGAGGTCTGGCTGGCCCTTGTTTTGTTTGTCCTTGTTGCTGAGGTCTGGGAGGCCCTTGTTTTGTTTGTCCTTGTTGCTGAGGTCTGGCTGGCCCTTGTTTTGTTTGTCCTTGTTGCTGAGGTCTGGGAGGCCCTTGTTTTGTTTGTCCTTGTTGCTGAGGTCTGACTGGCCCTTGTTTTGTTTGTCCTTGTTGCTGAGGTCTGACTGGCCCTTGTTTTGTTTGTCCTTGTTGCTGAGGTCTGGCTGGCCCTTGTTTTGTTTGTCCTTGTTGCTGAGGTCTGGGAGGCCCTTGTTTTGTTTGTCCTTGTTGCTGAGGTCTGGCTGGCCCTTGTTTTGTTTGTCCTTGTTGCTGAGGTCTGGCTGGCCCTTGTTTTGTTTGTCCTTGTTGCTGAGGTCTGACTGGCCCTTGTTTTGTTTGTCCTTGTTGCTGAGGTCTGGGAGGCCCTTGTTTTGTTTGTCCTTGTTGCTGAGGTCTGACTGGCCCTTGTTTTGTTTGTCCTTGTTGCTGAGGTCTGGGAGGCCCTTGTTTTGTTTGTCCTTGTTGCTGAGGTCTGGCTGGCCCTTGTTTTGTTTGTCCTTGTTGCTGAGGTCTGACTGGCCCTTGTTTTGTTTGTCCTTGTTGCTGAGGTCTGGTGGGCCCTTGTTTTGTTTGTCCTTGTTGCTGAGGTCTGGGAGGCCCTTGTTTTGTTTGTCCTTGTTGCTGAGGTCTGGTGGGCCCTTGTTTTGTTTGTCCTTGTTGCTGAGGTCTGACTGGCCCTTGTTTTGTTTGTCCTTGTTGCTGAGGTCTGGGAGGCCCTTGTTTTGTTTGTCCTTGTTGCTGAGGTCTGGGAGGCCCTTGTTTTGTTTGTCCTTGTTGCTGAGGTCTGGTGGGCCCTCGTTGTGTGTCTGTCCTTGTTGCTGTTGTTCATCATCCTGTGTTTATGTTCTCTGTGACGTACGTAACAGTGAAATTGATCTATAATTGTACATGGCCGCCAGTCGTTGATTGAACAAGTGTATGAGTGTATGAGAATTGTTCTCCCGGCTGGAGCAGGATACAGAGGTAAGTATGGGTGGCGGAGTGGAAGCTGGAGGGCCGCTCTTCGTCTCTTTCTACATGGTATCCCGGCTCAGCTTTATTTCATGGAAGCTTGACTCATTATAAAGGATGAGAGGAAGCTTGGATGTGAGTCGGTGGCCGCTTGAGAGGAGCTTCAGCTGCCCCGTCAGAGGACTGGGAGTGGATGGTAATGGGCTTCCTAACCATATACTCGGTCTTTAACTAACTGCTTGGTCTCCTTGTTATGTCTCCAGATTAATTTATGTTATATTTAGGGTTGCAAGCGTCACATAGGGGTTTGTCAACACACACACACACACACACACACACACACACACACATAGGCGCCTGGTGGCTGAGTGGACAACACTCTGGATACGTAGTCCTGCGGACCGGAGATCAGTCTCCGGCTATAGTGGAAACAAATGGGTAGTTTCTTACACCCTGATGCCCCTGTTACCTAGCAGTAAATAGGTACCTGGGAGTTAGACAGATGCTACGGGCTGCTTCCTGGGGATGTGTATGTGTGTGCGCGAGTGTTATAAAGAAATATATGTACTAGATATAATAGAGTTCATTTGAACAATGATTTGTTCATTTGAACATTGATTTGTTCATTTGAACAACGATAATAAAGCTGAAATATTCAACAATGAAGGCGAGAACAAGAAGATCGTAGTGAAGACACTGGAAGGTGATCACGACGCTCACAAGGACCAGCCGCTACTAAAGAGGAGCAGAATTAGACGCTGAAGGCGGGAACTGGAAGCCCAGATGAGCCAGCAAGACACACACACTCTCAGCGAGTGTGTGTACTTGGTCCACCAAGAGTACCAGTGGTCCACCAAGAGTACCAGTGGTCCACCAAGAGTACCAGTGGTCCACCAAGAGTACCAGTGGTCCACCAAGAGTACCAGTGGTCCACCAAGAGTACCAGTGGTCCACCAAGAGTACCAGTGGTCCACCAAGAGTACCAGTGGTCCACCAAGAGTACCAGTGGTCCACCAAGAGTACCAGTGGTCCACCAAGAGTACCAGTGGTCCACCAAGAGTACCAGTGGTCCACCGAGAGTACCAGTGGTCCACCAAGAGTACCAGTGGTCCACCAAGAGTACCAGTGGTCCACCAAGAGTACCAGTGGTCCACCAAGAGTATACCAGTGGTCCAACTAGAGTATACCAGTGGTCCACCAAGAGTATACCAGTGGTCCACCAAGAGTATACCAGTGGTCCACCAAGAGTATACCAGTGGTCCACCAAGAGTACCAGTGGTCCACCAAGAGTACCAGTGGTCCACCAAGAGTACCAGTGGTCCACCAAGAGTATACCAGTGGTCCACCAAGAGTATACCAGTGGTCCACCAAGAGTATACCAGTGGTCCACCAAGAGTATACCAGTGGTCCACCAAGAGTATACCAGTGGTCCACCAAGAGTATACCAGTGGTCCACCAAGAGTATACCAGTGGTCCACCAAGAGTATACCAGTGGTCCACCAAGAGTATACCAGTGGTCCACCAAGAGTATACCAGTGGTCCACCAAGAGTATACCAGTGGTCCACCAAGAGTATACCAGTGGTCCACCAAGAGTATACCAATGGTCCACCAAGAGTATACCAGTGGTTCACCAAGAGTATACCAGTGGTCCACCAAGAGTATACCAGTGGTCCACCAAGAGTATACCAGTGGTCCACCAAGAGTATACCAGTGGTCCACCAAGAGTATACCAGTGGTCCACCAAGAGTATACCAGTGGTCCACCAAGAGTATACCAGTGGTCCACCAAGAGTATACCAGTGGTCCACCAAGAGTATACCAGTGGTCCACCAAGAGTATACCAGTGGTCCACCAAGAGTATGCCAGTGGTCCGCCAAGAGTATACCAGTGGTCCACCAAGAGTATGCCAGTGGTCCACCAAGAGTATACCAGTGGTCCACCAAGAGTATGCCAGTGGTCCACCAAGAGTATGCCAGTGGTCCACCAAGAGTATACCAGTGGTCCACCAAGAGTATGCCAGTGGTCCACCAAGAGTATACCAGTGGTCCACCAAGAGTATACCAGTGGTCCACCAAGAGTATACCAGTGGTCCACCAAGAGTATGCCAGTGGTCCACCAAGAGTATGCCAGTGGTCCACCAAGAGTATACCAGTGGTCCACCAAGAGTATACCAGTGGTCCACCAAGAGTATACCAGTGGTCCACCAAGAGTATACCAGTGGTCCACCAAGAGTATACCAGTGGTCTACCAAGAGTATACCAGTGGTCCACCAAGAGTATACCAGTGGTCCACCAAGAGTATACCAGTGGTCCACCAAGAGTATACCAGTGGTCCACCAAGAGTATACCAGTGGTCCACCAAGAGTATGCCAGTGGTCCACCAAGAGTATACCAGTGGTCCACCAAGAGTATGCCAGTGGTCCACCAAGAGTATGCCAGTGGTCCACCAAGAGTATACCAGTGGTCCACCAAGAGTACCAGTGGTCCACCAAGAGTACCAGTGGTCCACCAAGAGTATACCAGTGGTCCACCAAGAGTATACCAGTGGTCCACCAAGAGTATACCAGTGGTCCACCAAGAGTATACCAGTGGTCCACCAAGAGTATACCAGTGGTCCACCAAGAGTGTACCAGTGGTCCACCAAGAGTATACCAGTGGTCCACCAAGAGTATACCAGTGGTCCACCAAGAGTATACCAGTGGTCCACCAAGAGTATACCAGTGGTCCACCAAGAGTATACCAGTGGTCCACCAAGAGTATACCAGTGGTCCACCAAGAGTATACCAGTGGTCCACCAAGAGTACCAGTGGTCCACCAAGAGTACCAGTGGTCCACCAAGAGTACCAGTGGTCCACCAAGAGTACCAGTGGTCCACCAAGAGTACCAGTTGAAGTCAAGTCCCAAACTTCAAGAGGATATATGTCAGCACAGATCACTACGCATAATAGTTCACCAGCTACTCGATCGTGGAGAGTCGGGCCCAGGAGCTGTAGCTTCCTATGAGTACTATCAGGTAAACACGGGTGGCAAGTTGAATTGATTACAAACCAACAATGAATAAAAAATAAAATACATTCTAAATTGAACAGGAAATTAATATTTTAATGAAAAAGAAACCAGATACATCATGTATAGAGACAAGTCAACAATTACCTTAGAAACTATTGGACAAAGAAAGAAAGTAGGGAAGGTGGGAGAGAGGTAGTCGTGATAAAACTAGGAGAGAAAACCTATTTACTGGCATTATTGTGAATGAAAGCGGGGAACGAACCTTGTTATGGAGAGCAGGTTCACGAACACGTCAACACAGCCAGACTGAGAGAGAGGGTTAGAGAGAGAGAGAGAGAGAGAGAGAGAGAGAGAGAGAGAGAGAGAGAGAGAGAGAGAGAGAGAGAGAGAGAGAGAGAGAGAGAGAGAGAGAGAGAGAGAACAAGCTGGCATGGGTGAGAAGAGCAGTAATCATGTCCTGGGTGTACAAGAAGGGTGTACAAGAAGGGTGTACAAGAAGGGTGTACAAGAAGGGTGTACAAGAAGAGTGTACAAGAAGGGTGTACAAGAAGAGTGTACAAGAAGGGTGTACAAGAAGAGTGTACAAGAAGGGTGTACAAGAAGGGTGTACAAGAAGGGTGTACAAGAAGAGTGTACAAGAAGAGTGTACAAGAAGGGTGTACAAGAAGAGTGTACAAGAAGGGTGTACAAGAAGAGTGTACAAGAAGGGTGTACAAGAAGAGTGTACAAGAAGAGTGTACAAGAAGGGTGTACAAGAAGGGTGTACAAGAAGGGTGTACAAGAAGAGTGTACAAGAAGGGTGTACAAGAAGGGTGTACAAGAAGGGTGTACAAGAAGAGTGTACAAGAAGAGTGTACAAGAAGGGTGTACAAGAAGAGTGTACAAGAAGGGTGTACAAGAAGAGTGTACAAGAAGAGTGTACAAGAAGGGTGTACAAGAAGAGTGTACAAGAAGAGTGTACAAGAAGGGTGTACAAGAAGAGTGTACAAGAAGAGTGTACAAGAAGGGTGTACAAGAAGAGTGTACAAGAAGAGTGTACAAGAAGGGTGTACAAGAAGAGTGTACAAGAAGAGTGTACAAGAAGGGTGTACAAGAAGAGTGTACAAGAAGAGTGTACAAGAAGAGTGTACAAGAAGAGTGTACAAGAAGGGTGTACAAGAAGAGTGTACAAGAAGAGTGTACAAGAAGAGTGTACAAGAAGGGTGTACAAGAAGGGTGTACAAGAAGGGTGTACAAGAAGAGTGTACAAGAAGGGTGTACAAGAAGGGTGTACAAGAAGGGTGTACAAGAAGAGTGTACAAGAAGGGTGTACAAGAAGGGTGTACAAGAAGGGTGTACAAGAAGAGTGTACAAGAAGGGTGTACAAGAAGGGTGTACAAGAAGGGTGTACAAGAAGGGTGTACAAGAAGAGTGTACAAGAAGGGTGTACAAGAAGAGTGTACAAGAAGGGTGTACAAGAAGGGTGTACAAGAAGGGTGTACAAGAAGGGTGTACAAGAAGAGTGTACAAGAAGGGTGTACAAGAAGGGTGTACAAGAAGAGTGTACAAGAAGAGTGTACAAGAAGAGTGTACAAGAAGGGTGTACAAGAAGGGTGTACAAGAAGGGTGTACAAGAAGAGTGTACAAGTAGAGTGTACAAGAAGAGTGTACAAGAAGGGTGTACAAGAAGGGTGTACAAGAAGGGTGTACAAGAAGAGTGTACAAGAAGGGTGTACAAGAAGGGTGTACAAGAAGGGTGTACAAGAAGAGTGTACAAGAAGGGTGTACAAGAAGGGTGTACAAGAAGGGTGTACAAGAAGAGTGTACAAGAAGAGTGTACAAGAAGAGTGTACAAGAAGGGTGTACAAGAAGGGTGTACAAGAAGGGTGTACAAG